ATATATACAGTGATTTTTTTTTTTTTTTCTTTTTAGGGGGATACTGGGGACTGAACTCAGGGGCACTCTACCACTGAGACACATCCCCAGCCCTATTTTGTATTTTATTTATAGACAGGGTCTCACTGAGTTGCTTAGTGTCTTGCTTTTGCTGAGGCTAGCTTTGAACTCTAGATCCTCCTGTCTCAGCCTCCTGAGCTGTTGGAATTATAGGTGTGCGCCTGCATACCAACTAAAATGATTTTATTTAAGAAATAAGATTAGCTAATTCTTGGCTCATACTTTGATGTTAAAATCTGAAGACCCTTAGCTGAACTTCTTGGCTCATGCCTGTAATCATAGTGACTCAGGAGGTTGAAGGAGGAAGAATCCCAATTTTGAGGCCAGTCTCTGCAATTTACACCCTGTCTCAAAATTAAAAAATGGATTTGGGTGTGTATGTAGCTCAATAGTAGAGTGCCCTTGGGTTCAATCCCCAGTACCACAAAAACAAAACTGAAGACCACCAGGTATTTTAAATTCTATAAATCTACAGAAAAGTTGCAGATAAGTAAATTTTATGATTGGTATCATTTAGTTTTTCAAAGAAATACCTAATTTTGCAGTCAATTGTTTTGGGGAGGAGGTATCGAAAGGCAACAGATTTAACCTTTCAGGCTGCTCCAGTCAGAGGTGTCATTTATAGTCATCTATGGCCAAGTTAGTGGGAGGCTAATAATATATTACTCAGCTGCATGACCTCCAAAATTAGTGGTTTTTAAAGTCAACTAAACACAAAGCTTTATTTAGATTTTTCTTCACTAACAGTATTGATCATCCTAGSGTAATGTGTGTTTATGTCTTAGTTTTTAATCAAATGTTTAAAATGTTAAAAAGAGAAAGGAAAACTGAAGAAAGCATATAGGACATAAATTATTTTTGTACAGCTGTATAATGTTTTTGTTTTAAACTAAAGTTTAAAGAGGAAACTTTTATTAGTTATAATAATAAAAGTTTAATTTCTTATTGAAGAAAGGAAAGGCCATTTAGTGCAGCCCAAATTAATTTTGTTTGTAATGTCTCCAGTATTGTAAGTAATGTTTTAGGCTTCCACATTAACTCACCACTTACCTAGCATCTTTCAGTCCACAAGTTCTCTTTGTAGTTAAGTACCTTATATAGATGCATCATTTTTTTTTATCTTTGATACCATACTTTTATTATACCTTTCTTATATTTTGGTATGTCTGATACATAGATACTTACCATTGTATCACAGTCGGCAGCATTATTCAGTACACTTACATGCTGTACAGGTTTGTAGCCTAAGAGTAGGAGGCTGTACCATTTAGGTTTGTATATTCTGTGATCTTCCCACAATGATGAGATCACTCAGCGACTTATTTTTTTCAGAACATATACCCATCATTAAGTGACACATGATTATCACAGTCTTTATTCTTGGAGAATATTTTCACCAGATAGAAAATTGTGACTTGCATTTTTTCTTTTTGCACTTTAAAGTTTTGTTCTGTATAATCTAGACCCCATTGTTTCTGGTGTGAAGTTAGCTGTTGCTCAAATTATTGTTCCCTTTTATGTAATTATGTTGTTTTTCCTCTGACTGCTTTCAAGATTTTCTGTTCTCTTTGCTTTTTACAGGCATACATGTGCGATTTTTTTTTCTATCCTTTTTTTTTTTTTTTTTAATTTTGCCAGGAATTCACTGAGTTTCTTGAATTTGTAAATTTACTTCTTACAAAATTTAGGGGAAATTTCTGGTCATTGTTTTTTCAGGGTTTGGTTTTGTTTCTCTTATTCTCTTTTCTTTCTAGAATTCTAGTTACTTGTAAGTTTTATCTTTTAACCTTGTCCAAGTTCACTGACCTTTCTTAWCAACAGTCAGCTAGTAAATTACAGTGACAGTACTAGTAAAAAACTATGGAGATGTTCAGGTTATCTCCTTATCTGTATATAGTTTTTCTGGTGGTTAACAAAATCAAATACAGCCCACATTTTCTCTACTATTCACTTTCTTTTTTTTTTTTTTTTTTTAAAGAGAGAGTGAGAGAGGGGAGAGAGACACAGAGAGAATTTTTTTAATATTTATTTTTTAGTTCTCGGCGGACACAACATCTTTGTTGGTATGTGGTGCTGAGGATCGAACCCCGGCCGCACGCATGGCTTGAGCCACATCCCCAGCCCCATACTATTCACTTTCTTTAACATCTGAATGGGTAAAACCAATTGTGCAAAGTTAGGGCCCACCTCCATACCCAGACCTGGCCTCAGACAAAAAAACAAAACATTAAAAAACAGAAAACCTTGGAGCTGGGGATACAGCTCTGTTGGTAGAGTGCTTGCCTTGCATGCATGAGGCCCTCGGTTTAATCCCCAGCACCACCACACAAAAAAAAAAAAAAAAAAAAAATTTAAAAAAGCTATAAAAAAAAACCTTACTACCCATTCTTTATTTTAAGTGTAGACTATCTTCCGTTTTCTGGTTTTTAGTACTTGTTTTCCATTGCTTTCTATTGGTTTGTTTTTATTTTGTTTCTAAAATTTATAGTTAGTAGACAGTTTTGGTCTGATGCAAGCTACTTTACCATTACCAGGCAATGTAGGAAACTACATAAACTCTTTCCGAACAGTGATCCTGTTTGAGTTCATTTTCTTCTCTTATGTCTTGCTTGAAAGTGCTTGGTGAAAGCTTACTAAATAATGGAAGAATGAATGAAATGTTTACTTTGGTAGATCTGTTAAAGAGCTTTTCCAGCAAGTTCATGAGAAAAGAGTAGCTTACTTTCTATCTACATATCTACTTTGTTATTGTATCAGTTCTGATCTTTTGCCAATTTTTTGATTCTGTTCTTTCCTCTTTTTAAAAATTTCTTTGTATGTTCTAGACATAAGTCCTTTATTAGATATATAATTTGCAGATATTTTTCTTCTAGGATGTTGTGTTCTTATTTTAACAGTGTCTTTTGTAGCTAGTAGGTTTAATTTTAATGATGTCCAATGTGGTTTTTTATTTATGGACTTTGCTTTTGATATTGGTCTAAATTCATTACAAAACATAATGTCACCCAGCTTTTTCTCTTGTGTTTTAGAAGTTTTGTAATTTTAGGCTTTATATTTGGGCATGTGATTCATTTTAATTTTTATGTTAAGGTGTAAGGTAAAAAAAAATGGTTTTGTATGTTTATATCTTACTATCCCATCACTGTATGATGAATAGAAGAAAGCTCTTTTTAATAGCTGACTTTTGAATACTTAGGTGCCAGTCAAAATTTTACGTGTTATCTACTTCATTGTTAAAGCAAGTCAAGTCTATATGGTGGCTGCTGCTGTTGTCTTCATTAGAGGAAGTTGAGGGGAAAAAAAATTTAGATTACTTGTCCAGAATTGTAGAACTTCCAGGTATCAGAAATACAGTTTGAATCCAGTTCTATCTCTTATAAGCCATAATAAGGAATTTGAGCTTTATCTTTAGTGAAAGATTAAAATATGGGAGTCACTTGTTCAGAGTACAATTTAGAAAGATGACTGATGACATTTTTGGAAATTAGATTGTAGGATGGAAAGATGGGAAGAGGATTTGCATTGATTTAGGTAAAGGTTGAGGTCTCAACAACCATACTTGCTAGATAAATTATGGATAGATTTAAGTGAGGTAGGAGTTTGACTTAGCAGAACTTGGCAAATGATTGGACATTAAGTGTAAGAAAGGAAATAATTAAAAATGGGAAGAAAGAATAATAAAATTGAAATTTCCTGTGATATCTAGGGAACTGAAGGAGAATAGATAATTAGAAATTTTGAAAGATTTGATAGATACAAATGGTTGGGGGCTAACATGTAGATAGCTCTCAAAGCATTGGTGGTGTATGAAATTTCTCAAAGGGTAGAGAAGAGAGTATCTTAAGCAGAATACTGAGGAACAGTAGCATTTAAAGAGTGAGGAGACAAGTAGGAGTTTGATAAGAAGCAACTGGAGACCTAGGAAATTAAAAAGAATAATTGTCATAAGAGACAAGTAGGAACAGAGAGTAGTACTAATGGAAGGGAGGCGTGCTTTCATATATCAAACTAGAGTTTTTAGAGTGAAAGAATTGACTGGGAAAAATTAGAGGATTTTCCCAGTAGAATTTGAAAGCTATAAATTTGTGGTGGTTTAGTCTTCAGTGGTCTTCCCACGCTCAGCATTATTAATGTGGGAGTCAAGGAGCCACTGACTCAACACTATCACCTATAAAAGGTAGAAAACACTTTTTAGACTCTCAGGAATGGAAAGATATAGAAAGAGGCTTTAGTTTGAAGAGAACGGGAAAGAATTATTCTTAAGTTGTAGTACTCATACTACAACTATTTGCACAATAATTTATATGTTTCTTTTAGAACTAGGTCTAAAAGCAACACTTAAAGCAATCTATTGATTGAGTGTATTTTGCTACTTGCATATTGAGTGTACTAATTTTAACATTAAATAATAAAAAGCAGAGAATTTTTGAAAAATCTTAAAAGGATTAAGTAATACAAAATAATAATATAAAGGAAAACATAAAAATACACCAATTTCAATGTTTGAGCTTGCTTTTTCTTTGTTTCCATCTCTTCTTCGGGGATTGAACTCAGGGATGCTTAACCACTGAACCACACATATTCCCCGCCCTTTTTTTTGAGACGGATCTTTTTAAGTTGCTATGCCTGGCTTTGAATTTAGGATCCTCCTACCGTAGCCTCCCAAGCTGCTGGAATTATAGTTGTGCTTCACCACACCCAGATTTCATCTCTTGCTCAAGAATAAAGTTTTCTGTTAGCATGCAGAATAATTCAAGAACTCTTGATCTCATAGTTTTAAAGTAGATTACTCTCATGTACTCTATTTAGAAAAACCTGTCACACAGAAATCTGTTCTTGCCCATCACATGCTAATATTAGTAATAGTAGCAATATAATGTAAAAACAATTATACTTTGTTTAAAATTTTCTTTCTAATTTTTGGTTTTGTTATTCAACAGGTTTGATCTGTGGATGAAATGAATCATGATTTTCAAGCTCTTGCACTAGAATCTCGGGGAATGGGAGAGGTAAATATTTACTAATACCAAGAACTTATACCTCACTTTAATTATTTGAGCTGTTAAGACTCATTTTTTTTTTAAAAACAGTAATCTTGAAAAAATAGTGGTTATATTTTCTAAACTATATGGGTTTTATTTTATTATTTTAAATCTCTGGCTGTGTGAAATTATGTAGTTGTGATTTTTTTCAGCTGCTTTGTTTTTAAACCTATAGCAAGTAATTTTCAGTGATTTATTTAGTGTGATTTGATTCACTTGGATAGATGTATTATATTTTGGTAATGAATCATACATCATTAGCTTTACTCAGAAGAAAAACTTCCTTTATCCTTGTTCTGCCGTTTTATGTATGTATGCTGTGTTTGCTTATTGTTCATTATTCTCCCTTCCCAAAATCTCTCTTGTTCACCAAAGCTGTTTGCTTAATAAACTTCTAAATTCTTGACAGGACTCTATTGAAAAGACTTACCTATTGTCCCGTTGCTATCTATAGTAGAATGAATTATTTTCTCATCTGACTTTCCCTAGATCTTTATAAATACTTTTATTATATTACTGGTTACAGTTTGTATTATATTTGTCTCTCCTGTAAATTGCTAGCTTTGAATGCCTAGCATAATAGGTACTCCACATTTTAAAATTAATTTTATCATTCCTGTTAATCTGATTTTCTTTGAGGCATCAATTTAACCTCACCAGTACATATTTTAAGTCAGCTAAAATACTTAGTTTTCCATACACCTAATGAAATTTTAGAACATTTTAATTATGGAAACTCTTGTGGTCATCTTTATTTTTGTCATGTTCTATACTATACTAACATAGTGTGGACTTTGGTAATAGAAAATAACAGTAAACAGACCTAAGATGTGTAATTAACTGCTTGCACCTGGAGATTATTTTACTTTGGTAGATAGAGACGGCCATGAGACTCACTCCATCCAATGCTGTGCTCTTCAGATGCAGAAAAAGAGTCCAGTCACTCCTTTGGGCCACAAGAGGGCACCCTGCAGCTAGCTAACCCTCCCTTTCTTCAGAACAGCGTTTTCCAAAGAGTTTGTCATTTTCAGAGGACTGATTTAAGGGTGAGTTAAGGTGCTTAAGCTTAAGTATTACCAAAATAAATTTGTTAGTCCAGTGCACAAGGTAAAATTCTGGGCCCTAAGATAAATTTGAAAGAGGAAATAAGGTTTTTTTTTGTTTGTTTAAAAAACTATACCTTCACTGCAGCACAGTGACTTGCTTAGGCATTATTTACATTATGGGAAACAAAAGAGGCAGAAAGGTCTTATATTCTTTCTTTGCCACTTGTTTCTGTGGTCTTTAGAAAAATAGAATGATGTATTTTAAAAGCAGGTTTGAGCAGTTTTTCAGCCTTTTAGTCTGTGACAGACTTGAACTTCTTAAGAGCAAGTAAAGTCACATTCCTACATTAATTCTGATATTTATACTTTACTTACCAAATGTATATTGTTTATGTGTTTACAAATAGATTCTTTTCCCCCCTTTCTAACTAATATTTGATAAATCTAAAGAGCTTTATAATTCCAAAACTTGTCATCATTAGAAATGGTAGTTAAAAGAGTATTTGGGGATGCAAAAAGGTTTTAGAAAAAGAGGAGGTAGTTTGAATGTATGTTATATAAACTTAAATCCAGACTTTATTAATGGACATGTCAGATATGCAGAACAAAAGTGTAGTCACTTAGGTGTAGATTGCTTTTACTACCTGTTGGATAGCAACCAGTCAGTGTATCTGTGACCTTTAGCCAGTAAAAATGTATTCTTAAATAAGCTGTTTTTATGAATTTTTTTTTCATAATAGTTTACCAATTACTGTTGTTACCTCTAAAAGATAACTAAGAAACCTCAGATTTCTGTCTCTGGGTTTTCTCCCACAAGCCTTTCTATCTTTCCTCATCTCACAGGCAGCAGGGAACCTTCTGGGATTTCCTTCTTTGCCTGTCTCTCTCTCACCAGTCTTCTCCTTTCCTGACAGGTGAGGTTTTTTTGGTTTTGTTTTATCCCAGAATTCATTCATTGGAATAAATAAAAGCAGCCTTGAGTTTCTGGCTCTTGTGTTTTCTAAAATTGCTTGTTTGGTTTTTTTTGTGTCTTTTTTTTTTTTTTAATGGTAATGCAAAATCCTTTTTTTTAATGGATTGTTCTATTCTTTTTATGATAAAGTTTTGCTTATTATATTTTAAGTGTTGTAAATTTCTAATGTACAAAGCACTGCATCTACATATAGGATTCATTTCAAATGTACTGTTTTTTGTAGATCACAGTAGCTTTACAAGTCATCATCAGAAGGACGATCTCTTGGTTGTTCATCTAGAAATAGAAACAGATTTGTATTCATCTATTCATGCTTGCCCTTTCTTTTTTAAAAGCCTAATAGCAATTTTTGTCTAAAGTTCTGCTGATTTGCATTATGTCACATGGATTAAAAAGAGCAAAGCATTCATAGGAGATATTCAGCATTGTTAATATATGTAGTGCACTTCAGAGGCACATTACTATTGTCATCTCGAGGCTATTAGGCTGGGTACTTGTTTATTTTTTACATAATGGAAAAAAGGACCTTGCCTGAAATTTCTTTAGGGAACCCAGAATTTAACTTTAAAATCATTGAATTAGTATGTTTAATTTTGAGAATATTTTCATAGCTTAGTACGATAAATAATGCTCTTTCCTTTTTCTGATACAATAATTTTTAAAGTAAATTTTTGCATCAAGATCCTATGTAGTATGGTAAAATGGAAAACATTAGATAGGGTAGTAATGAAACTTCTCTTTTTTTCAGATCTCTCACTAGTGCTATGAGCTTGAGTAAGATTGACTTATTTTGAAGCAGAAATAGAAATAATGTGTTGTATGAGTCACATCTCTCAAATACTCTAACTTTGAGCAGTTATGGATAGCTTTTAGGGATAGTGTTTAAAAAGTTGATCATAGTTTATATAAATCCTGTCTCAGTAATTCTATACAAAAGTTTGTCCATGATAACAGGAAGAATATCACAATATCTTAAACTGCTTTCATTTTTAACTAGTGGAAATTTTCAGAAATATCAGTGAATTAGACTATAATTGAAAAGAACTCTCTGGTAGTTAAATGCAAAGAGAAAGACCTTAGAATTAAACAGATACAGGGTTTCCAATACAGGGTTTCCAATCCGATTGCTGCCATTTACTAATTATATGTATAACCTTGATCAATTTAACTTTTGACTCTTTTTTTCTTATGCAGAATGTAACTATAGCAACTGTCTTTCCTAAATAATAGGGTTTAAACTTCCCCCTAGAATAGTCAAACTGACTCAAGAAAAAAAGAAGGCGTACAGCTCTTAGACTAATGAATGAATGTAATGAATGATGTAATTCTTTGAAATAGTCAGCCCAGCCAGTTTAATGTTGCAGATGAGTAGTTGTCTCGTGTATAATATTAAAAGATTTCTATTTTGAGGTTTGTAAAAGCTTCTAATATTTATGTAACTGCTGTGTGTTGGTTGTGTTAAGTGGTTTACTTATGTTATTTCATTCTAGTTTTATAACTTTTACGACCAGAGCTTATTATCTTTCCTTTTGAGATAAGGAAACAAGTTCAGAAAGAATAATTAACTGGCCCAAGGCCACACCACATAATAATACCTGAATGCAGTTTGAACTCCTGCCTGTCTTGACTATTTATAATGCTATTTTCCTTTGGAAATGTCTATATTTGTTGTTAGTTGGTTAGTATTAAGGGATATTAGGAATGGAGAAGATGGGGAAGTGATATGAATTGAAAAATCTAAAAATATTAAAATATTATATCCTTAAAAAAATGAAATCCAGAAAAGCACCATTCTTAGGTTTTAGGAAATTGCTTTCTGTTTTTTGTTCCCTGTACAATTTGGGTTTTAGTATCTGTTTTTGTCTTTTATGAACTTGTATTTTAAGTAGAGAGACCTTGCATCATGATTTGCCCAGGATAATCCAGTTACATATCTGTTAGGTATAATTATTATCATAGCATCCCTTTTTTCAAAAGTGTCCTAGTTTGGATGATGTTATATGAGCACTTAATTTAAAACAATGATGTGGGCTTTTAGTTTTAAATTCTTCTAAGTCCTTGGATTATCTTTATTTGGCTGTCTTAGGATTTTATGTAACTCTGATGTATAAGTGTAATTCAGTAAATGCTAGAGCGGGAATTTTTTTTCTCTTATTAGTGTGGGAATTTGATTTAATTTTATTTTTGAAACAATGTGCTGGGGTGCTTTTTTTTTTTTTTTTTTTTTTAAATGGGGAAGGCAAGCCATAAATACTGTCCAAGGAAAGAACATTGTATGTACACTCAGTCGTATCTGAGATGAAGGATAGGTCAGTGTACTGACCTTAATTTAGAGTTTCTGTGAATTAGGGAATAAATAAAAAGTGGTAGTGAATAATATATTTTACAAATATTTAAGGATTTTTAAGCCTTGTTTTTTATATTTCTAAGAAAAATCTCTGGGGGCAAATTTACATCAATTTATTGTTTAACCTCTAAAAACTTTTTTTAAACTGATCTTTTTTTCTGAATTGTTGCCTGCTCTTAGATTTAGTCCATTTTAACCTGTTCCTGGTCAGAAGATAGTGATTTCTCGAAAAGTATTTGAATCACTGTCTGAATTGCCACAGAAAGCAAGTTCTAGAATGTTTAGATCTTTGGTAGAAGTATTAAGTTTAACTACTAAATTTGTTTCCTATGCACGATAACTTGTGTTAACAAGAGAGTCGTAGTACAGTGCTTTACAAAAATATTCACACTTGGTAAGTGTTAACAGATTTTTTCCCCCATGTTTCTGTTTTTTGTACCTATTTTGGATTCCTTATTTGTTCTTGTTTTGACACTGAAATGTTTTTCTTCATGAAGTATGGGCAAACAATTCTTTATTTCAGGGATAGTCTTCATCCTTCTGAAATGACTTGCTTATGCAATGTTTTTAAGAGATTAATTTGGGTTTTACTATGAATAAATGTTTATTTAAATATATCAAATGATGCTGTAATATTAGTATTATCAGCTTTTTATTTTGTTTGAATATTTACGTGAATCTTTTATAGTGACTTTTTTTTAATTGAAGGAATGGAGCTATTGTAGTTTAATTACTGTGAACTTTGGTAAGAGTAGATGATTGTGTAAATATCTATAATTATTCATAGCCAAGAAGATCCTAAATGCAAAAACTTTTCTATTTTAAAAAACAGAATTTTGTTTCCTTTAAAAATTTGCTTATTTAGCAAAAGATCTGTGAAATGGGAACAAGGCTAAATTGATATTATACCCCTATCTTCAGAGCTGCTTCTCCTGATCTACTCCAAACATCACCACAAACTCCTCCACCTCCCTAATTTTAGTCAATGACACCTATCATTATCTTTTTAATCCAGCTACTAAGGTTGTATCCCTTTTATCCACCTTTTCCCATTATCCATATTCAGGTCCAAATTTGACTGTCTAGAATGCTTCTCAGATCCATTTTATTTTCTCAGTTCTTTCTGTTAGTAGTACCCTATTTCAGTTCTTGCTGCTTTGACTCTATTGTAATTTTCCTAAACTGGTCTCTTTGTCTCTAGTCTTTCCCCTTCTATCTCTTATTCCTTACAACTTGAGTTGTTTTTCAAAACAGCTGTCTTGCCAACCTGTCTTAATTTCTCTTGTTACTTAAGTATAACATCCAATTTACTTAACATGTCTCCTAAGAGTCCTCATAATTGACCTGGTTAGCTTTACCAGTATTAAGTCTTGGCCTTCCAACATCTGTTTCTCTTATATGCTGTTCTCCACATGTTACATTTTCTAAAGTTTTGCCTTCGTTTGTGCTTGACTGTATTTTATTTATGCTTTTTTTCCTTCCTTACCTTGCCTTCCCACTTTCAAACTCTAGCGCCCCCCCACCCACAGTATATTCTCTCTCAGACCTCAATTTAAGTATTAGTTATATTTTATCATAGTCTATATGTTTATGAGCTCTGAAGATGTGAGCATGCCCTTAAAGAAGCACACATAGGTAATTTAGTATGATATGTATTTTACTAGAAGTATACAACATGTTTGATTATTAGCACTGAAGGACTGGGCACCTAATTATGGGCTGAGAGTGTCTTATTTATGAGTGCTTATTTAAAATATCAAATGTATGTCTCAGAAAGATTGTATATTCAAACAGATATGCCAAGACTGTCTCCTGAGCATCACGTATAGTAGCAAGGAAAGACCTGAATGGATATTAAAGAATAGCTAGGAATTATACATTTTGATTAACTCAATTTTTACATGGTGTATATGTCACCATGTAGACTGTCTAGCATAGGGCCTTAAGATTGTTATTTCAAAAGTATCTGTAGGTTTTTTTCTGTGTGTGTTTTCTATCATCTATAGCTTTCTGATTTGGAATTGGTGGATTCATAGTATTCAGGAGCTAGTAAGAATTGTGAAATTCACTGTCATTGAATGGCTGAAGTAAGAAAGAAAAAATATTTTCTATCCTGGATGTTGTAGGATAGGAGGTTGTCCAAAGGCAGTTCTTGAAAGTAAAAGAAAAATGTTAATCATTCTTTTAATGATCTCTTTTTGAGTAAGAAGTTTAATAGGCATTTTGAAGAAATTTACATATAAAGAAAACCACATAAGAAAAATGTTTGAAAAACAGTAGTCAGAAGTGGACTTTAATTTATTGTTTAGATTCAGAATTATTAGAACCAGTACATAAACATAAACAGGGAGTTATTTTACTGTTAGTGGAAAATTTAGAAAAAAATCATTCTCATTTTCATTAGCATCAAAAACTAATGTGTACTATTAGTGATATGTTTGCTATTCCCTTTGTATTCTTTGTAATTTGAATAAAATTTAAATGTAAATTTTTCCTCCCAAATAGCTTTTGCCTACCAAAAAGTTTTGGGAACCTGATGATTCAACAAAAGATGGACAAAAAGGCATATTTCTTGGGGATGATGAATGGAGAGAGACTGCATGGGGAACTTCTCGTAAGTTATTGTTGTATGCATGAGAATTATGAATAAACTCAATGTTTGTTTTGTGTTTTTCCAGTCCCCACCCTGGCCCTGGCCCTAGGATGTCACCTGCCTTTCCCCCACAGCCCTCCACCTCAGTGTTTTTTAAAACCTTGCCTATCCCTAAATAGTATTCAGAGAAAAATAGGATCTTGTAAGTCATTATAATTCACATTTTCTTGTGGTAATTAACCCTTGTCTGTGGCATACTTAAACAGTCTTGTATGACAATGACTGATTTATCTAGTTGTTGCTCAGTTAAGCTTTATTAGACATTGGCCACATCCAGAAAGGAAGTTAATTGTCTTAGTGACATAAAACTCCTAGAAAAGTGCAGATGAATGTTTTTGATTTCCAAAAGGAGTGAGGAGACAGTTTGAGCTAAGAAACTCTTAAGGAGAAAAGGAACTGGCATGTAAGGAATATAACTTGTAGGAGTTTCAGTATTTATTGGTAAATTGAAAAACATAGTTGTAAACCATTATATATTGGAAATGTTTTTAATTAGTAAAATTTGAGAGTTGTACAGACAGAACTGTTAACATAAATTTTACAAATAAGTTTTCTCTTTTTATTGCTGAGTTTAATGCAGCTTGTTTTACCTATGCAAAATGCCCAAAGTAATAAAAAACCAAATTCCCCAATAAAACTATTGCCTAAAAGCTAAAACTCAAAGGTTAGGGAGATCTAAAAGAAGTTTTAGGGCTGGGGATGTGGCTCAAGCGGTAGCGCGCTCGCCTGGCATGCGTGCGGCCCGGGTTCGATCCTCAGCACCACATACCAACAAAGATGTTGTGTCTGCCAAGAACTAAGAAAAAATAAATGTTAAAATTATAAAAAAAAAAAAAGAAGTTTTAATTTCATTTTCAATCAAATAGATCAAAAACTTTTGGTAATAGCTAATTTAGGCTGGTATTTCCTTAAAATATTGGAAATTTTCTTTCAGTTTAGTGCTAACAAACAGGTAATATGCCAGGTTTGGGAAACAGAAACATACTAGACCCATAACGTATTCACATGCAAGCATTCTGAGCAGAACATGGAAATGAAAGATTATTTTCAGGATGGAAGATAGAAGAAATATCAAATTTATCATTTTAGTCAGTTCTTCTATCGTTTCTCCCAAGTTTTAGTTGCATAGATTAAAATTTTGATGAATACTAGTCTTTTACCAAAAAACATGAGAAAACTAGAAATGAATGGAATTTTATTTGCCTAACAAACATTTAGTAGATTTCAAGCACATACAAATATGAATAATACATTCCTTGTTTAAAGGATTTGTCATTCCTTATTTAAAAGATTTTCCATGAGTGCAGGAGACCTACTCCTATACCATACTCATTGTTTGCTATTTTAGTCAGCTGATTCTCTGCTGCAACTAAAGAACCCGACCAGAACAACTTTAGAGGAGGAAAGGTTTATTTGGAGGCTTACAGTTTCAGAGGTCTCAATCTATAGACCACAGACTCCATTCCTTGGGGCTCCAGGTGAGGTAGAACATCATGGTGGAAGAATGTGGCAAGGGAAACAGATCACATGGTGATCAGAAAGCAGAGGTCTCCACTTTCCAGATGAAAATATAAACCCATAACCACACCCCACCAGCCTCCAGTTATCACTCAGTGAATCCCATCAGGGAGTAATTCACTGATTAGGTTAAGGTTGTAGACCAATCATTTCTCCTTTGAACTTTGTTTCATTGTCTCACATGTGAACTTTTGGGAGATGCCTTACATCCAAACCATAACATCAGCTAAATCGATATACTTGTGATTATCAGTTTCAGTGTGTTCTCCCGGTACTTTCAGGCCTTTGAAAAGTGGATTTCTGTAACTGAATTGCTCTCACTTTCCCCCACACTTTAAACTATTTACCCTTCATATTTGGCTTAAATATAACTTCCTTTGGGATTCACTCAAAGACTGGGAAAAATCAAAGCTCCATTTTTTCTATTGCCATAATATCCTGGATTATTTTTATTGAAGCACTTTTATCCTATTATGATTGCTTTCTATTAAATCTGTGCTCTTTGAGGACAGAGATTATCTTGTTTGTTGTTGAATTTTCCGAATGTAGCATAATGCTTAGTGTACAAGGGGCTGTAAATCAGTATTTTAAACTGTGGATGAATGTTTGAATGAAAGGACATAATGGCTAATCTCTCCTGGATATACATAGTGAAATAAATGTTTTTTAATATAGTTCAACAAAAGTAGCAATCATTGAAAGTTATGAATTATAGTTAAATTAAATGATAATTGAATACCACAGTGATGCTCAACCTGGATAGTTGAAGAGCAAGATATAACATCCAGTATTGTACCTGTTTGTGAGTGAACCAGAAGTAACTAGTAACTTACTGGTTCCTTTGAAAAGATTTCAGCAAAAACTATTTGAATGTTGCCTCCCATGTGTTAATTTTATTTGTATTCCGCTAGCTTTTATTATTTTTCTTTTCATCATAGAAATATGTAAAAATAGAATTTGTATCAGGTGAATAATTTTTTTTTTTTGAGAATTACCAGGGAATAACCGAGGAGTGTTTTGTTGCCTCAACTGGCCTCAAATTAGTAATTCTCCTGCCTCTGCCTCTCATCAGTGAGATTATAGGCATCTGCCCCTGCACCCAGCTAGAAAAGATTTTTGTTTTTTATCTTTTTAATTTTGGGGGTGGGTTGGGGGTATCTGAGCTTGAACTCAGGGGCTCTCAACCACTGAGCCACATCCCCAGCCCTATTTTGTATTTTATTTAGAGACAGGGTCTTACTGAGTTGCTTTAGCGCCTGCTGTTGCTGAGGCTGGCTTTGAACTCTTGATTCTCCTGCCTCAGCCTCCCAAGCTGCTGGGATTGTAGGCTTTCCCAAGCCCTGACTGTCAAAAGAGGTGTTTTTTAAATAAAAGCTTAAGATGATATTTAGCCTTTTCACCAAGGAAATACTGTGGTATTATTGGKTTTTCCCGACTCATTCATGTTTCTAGTGTGACAGCAGTATGAACTATGAAAATACTGCCAGTTTGGAAGGTGTTTTCTGTTTTTTCCCTTAAAAATAAACAAACAAAAAAAAAAAACTGATTTCATAGGACTCACCAAAAGAATATTAACTTTTTGACATAGTGCTTATAAGCAACTTTGCTTTCAGATTAATATTTCCACTTCCATTAACCTTTTTGGTTTGATTTTTCTTTCTATAGAATGAAAAGCTGTTTACAAGATTATAATAATAATAATCTTCAAAATAAAATGAAGTGCTGATTTTTCTTACTTTAGTATACTTGTGAAACTCCGTTTTGTTTAACTTGAAAGTACAAATTTGTAATTCTAATCTTTATTCCAAAACAGATCATTCAATGTCCCAGCCTATTATGGTGCAGAGAAGATCTGGACAGGGTTTTCATGGAAACAGTGAAGTAAATGCAATATTGTCTCCTCGATCAGAAAGTGGAGGCCTTGGCGTGAGCATGGTAGAATATGTACTAAGTTCTTCTCCTGCTGATAAATTGGATTCTCGTTTCAGGAAAGGAACTTTTGTAAGTATTTTGAATAAAGACTTTTTAAAAATATTTGTTTGTTATTTGGTTATATTTTATTTTTAAGTCAGTTTATTTTTCCCTACTTCTTAAAGGAAATTTTAATAGCTGTTTGGACCCTTGTTTATTTCTCGATCTGGAAGTAACCAATGATATTGCGTATGCATTAAATATTTTAATCTAGTTTGTGGTGTTACTGCTTTTCTAGCACCGCTATAGTTAAGGTTGCCTTAGCCCTTCTGTTATAAATCACTATCTGTACTCAAATTTTTTGCTATTTGCTAAAATAGTTGACTATGAACTTAAAATATAAGTTTCAATGTTTTCTCTCGTTTACATGCACAATAGTGTAGTTTTAGGTCACCAAATGGTGCCTTTTTTGTGTGTTCTATTAAGTATTCAGAATCAAACAGATTCTTTTTCCTCAGGGCACTAGAGATGCTGAAACAGATGGACCTGAGAAAGGAGATCAAAAAGGCAAGGCTTCTCCATTTGAGGAGGACCAAAACAGAGATCTTAAACAAGGAGATGATGATGATTCTAAAATAAATGGCAGAGGTTTGCCAAATGGAATGGATGCCGATTGCAAAGATTTTAAGTAAGATTTTAACTTTTTTGAGAAGAAAAGGTTATCTCTTTTTAAGGATTATTACAATTAGTTGATGTGACTGATTTTGACATTTTTCCAACTTCTGTTTATTTCCTTTGTACGTGGTGTTAATCTGGACAATTATTTTTTCATAAGAAAAAACAGTTAATGATTATGAACAATTAAAAATAAATCTTCGAAACAGGATCTAAAGCAGTATATTCTATTGAAGGATTAGTATCAGAAGCTGCTGTTAATTTTCTGCTGATATAGTCTAAATTTGAACTTTTTCCTCTGTTAGAATTTAGTGAGACCTGAGAGACTTCAAAAGTTAGCTCTGGGCTAGGGTTGTGGCTCAGTGGTAGAGTGCTCGCCTAGCATGTGAGGCACTGGGATTGATCCTCAACACTGCATGTGTGTATATATATATAATGTATATTTATGTGTATAAATTATATATGTATATGTACATATATATTTATGTGTGTATATATACACATAAAGCTGTTATGTCTATCTACAATATTAAAAAATTTTTTTTWAAAGTTAGCTTAAAACTCAGAATTCTTAACACTTTTTTAGTGTTCTCTCTCTCTCTCTTTTTCTTGTGCATGGTACTAAGGGTTGAACCCAGGGCCAAATGCTAGGCAAGTGCTCTATCACTGAACTACATTCCCACCCTTTTTAAAATTTTGCTTTTGAGACAGGATTTTGCGTATATGCCAAGGTTGGCCTTGAACTTGTGATCCTCCTGCCTCAGTTTCCCTACTAGCTGGGATATTATAGGCATGTGCCACCATATCCAGCTGTAGTTGTCTTTAGGCATTTAGTACTTCTTTAACCTTTTACACTAAATTAGCCAGTGTATCTTTATCTTAGGAATTGTTACTTCATACTGATTTAATATACTTTTACACTATAGTAATCAGATATTTTGAAGACTTTACCTGAAAATGAATAGTTCCTTTGAGATTTTGTGAACCGTGGAATGCTAGATAACAAGAGTTTAGGTGAACGGTGGGTTGCATTTATTACCTTAAATTACCAAAGCAAAATAACATTGCTTCTTAAAAGCAGCAGTGTTTCTATCTGTTCAGAGTGCAAAAAAGCATCCAAAACCTATAAACCTCTTTAATGCGAAATTTTGTTCTGTTTGTTTAAAACCTTTTCATTTTCTGATTTTGTTCTTTTCCTAAGTTTTAGTAAACAGTCTGCACTTAATATTCAGTTAATTATAAACCCTTCAGATTAAACATTTATAATTGAAGTGTTAATACACCACTAACTATAGCAAGAGCACCACTTGATAGTATGATGACTTTTTTTTTTAATGCCCTCTGCTTTTGGTATTTGAGTTATTTTGTGTGGAAGTTTTTACTTTTCCCCTTAAAATATTAATACCAAATTTATAAGCATTCAAATTTTATTTTGGATATGTGTTTAAAATMATTAATTAATTTAAATGCAATATTAATCATTACTTGGCAATATAAAAAAATGTTTCAAAAAATACTGTGGCCATCACGATCACTATGTCAGCATGTTGTGAATCTGTATGTTAAATGACATATCAACATACACATTCCTATAGTAGAACTGAAATGAATGAAAGACCCAAGAAAACTTGTTTTGTTTTGTTTTTAATTGGCTGGTTTTAAACAAAATCCTTTCAGTTTTGTTTTTTTTTTTCCAGTTATGGTCCAAATGAAAAAATGAAACTTTGAAATTTTCCCATGCAAGTGGATATGGCTAAAGAGGAAAGGAGTTTAAAATCATCTAATATTGCAA